GTGTAATGCACCTTCAATTGAAATGCACACCTCAGTTTTGAAGGTGCACATTACAAAAAAAATTTGTTATCAAATGGAATGCATGCCTTCTCCATGCTTGTTGGTTGTTCCATTGCTGCCTCAAAACAGTCAACAAGCAAGGGGAAACCACACTCCTCCATCAGGCCAAGGAAGGTGAGTTCACCAGCATAGGCCTGAAGAATGGAAGCAGGCAGGTTTACATGCCCAATTATACTGTGCCCTCAAATCTAATGCCCACCTCACTTTTGGCTATGTAATTTAGCCCCAAAAAAGTGTATGTTAAGAGTTGTGTAAATATGGTACTAGAAATAAGGATCATCCATAAGATTGACAATAATAGGTACAAGAGAGGTAAAAAGCACATAGTAAAATGATGGAATTCAGCATCATAGGAAGGCTGGCAACCTGATCAGCTTCCAAAGATGGCTGGTTAATTCATGGTGCAGAAGCGTATGCATATATCTAATGCTTGAAGAATTATGCCTATGTATATCACTTCCTAGAGAGCATGAGTAGGATGCTTTTGCACTCATGGTCTGCTTATGCGCTTCCCTAGGCATCTATTTGCACACATAATGCTGGTCTAAATAGGTCTTGGTCAGGTTACCGTGGCTGTTAAGAATCTCGTGTTCACCAAATCAGAAACTTCCCAGAAAAATACATGACTGTTTTGCCTTACAATATATTTGCTATCAGACAGGAGGGTAGCTCTCCATTTCTTTGCGAAAGTTACGGTTTTAGTAGAAGAGATATTTCATACTTCAAAATATATTCGATATGAAAACTGAAGTGATAGTTTGTAGTATTTTATTACAAATGAATTAATTTTTAATTAGATTGTATTGTCGAATTAATTAGATTATTTCATTAAAAAAAACCAGCATACTGATATAGAGACAAAGTTGAAGTACTTTGGCCACATCATGAGGAGACAGCAAAGCCTAGAGAAGACAATTATGCTGGGGAAAGTGGAAGGCAAAAGGAAGAGGGGCCGACCAAGGGCAAGATGGATGGACGGCATCCTTGAAGTGACTGGACTGACCTTGAAGGAGCTGGGGGTGGTGACGGCCGACAGGGAGCTCTGGCGTGGGCTGGTCCATGAGGTCACGAAGAGTCGGAGACGACTGAACGAATGAACAACAACAACAACTGATATAGAAGCAAAGTTAGGGATACCTAAGCCACTTAGGAATTGATTTTATATACCGTCAGTATAGAGCAACTTCATGTATAAGGCAATGCCAGGTTTTAGGGTAAAAATTACTGATATTGCCTATGAATAACTTGAGGGTCATTCTATGGAGAGAGGAAAGAGTGCTATTGCTGTCTCAGAGGACCAGCCAGCATTGGCTGCCACCATTATCCTATCTAAACATTCAAAAAGGTGCTCTGGCTGGAAGATTATAGAGAGTCAATGCTTCTTTTAGGTTTTTCTGGGAATGGCTAAGCTTTTCCCTTTTGCTAAACTATTCAGAAAAGAGAATGGTTACTTTTTTGACAAGAGTTAAGATATAGTACTCATACTGACCCATGGATAAGTTTTTTTGACCAAAATTTGACCAAAAACTTCTTTACGGACTGCTGTTGTTGAATATATTTCAAAGTCAGAATGAATTGGGAAGGTATTACCTTGGAGTAAGGGAGGATGCACCATCCAATTAAAATTGGAAAATAATGACCTAAGCCCATAAGTAACATGAAACTATTTTGTGACACCTAAAAGGGACCGCAAATAAAGTATCCTGATATGGAATTTCTGCGATCAAACTCTTAACATTATACGTAATAAACTCTAAGTAACTGTATAAATGGAAGGATACATTGTGATGTAGGAAGCAAAGACTTATAGTGATCCAGGGACAAAGGTGGGGTATAAATAAAGTTAATGATGATGATGATTGAATTATTATTAATGTAATATATATTATTACTAATTATTATTACTAATGTAATAAAATTACTATTAATATTTTGTGTGAACAGGTAGGCTTTGTATGAGCCAGGGATCCACAAACTTTTTAAACAGAGGACCAGATCACAGTCCCTCAAACTGTTGGAGGGTCGGATTATAATTTGAAAAAAAAACATGTATGAATTCCTATGCACACTGCACATATCTTATTTGTAGTGCAAAAACACTTTAAAACAATACAACAATTAAAATGAAGAATAATTGTAATAAATATAAGCTTATTAGTATTTCAATGGGAAGTGTGAGCCTAGATTTGGCTGATGAGATAGGATTGTTGTTGTTGTTGTTGTGTGCTTTCAAGTTGTTTCAGACTTAGGTTGACCCTGAGTGAGAGCCGGGTAAATGACCTTGGAGGGCCGTATCCGGCCCCTGGGCCTTAGTTTGTGGACTCCTGGTATAAGCAGTCAGAAATATGATTGATGTCAAACACCTTCTCGTCCTTTGTGGGTTGCTACTCACCCCCACTGCGCCGAGTTTTCAAGTACCTCTTAGTAATAACACAGAAGGATAGAGAGCAAGTGAGGGGGAAGAGATGTTAAAGCTACATTAACTATGTCCTTGTATTCTGCTGAAGGCAACTTTACATAAATGTTCCTGTAGCAACTGCCATCACCCTTTTAAAAGCTAGAAATGAAAATGCCATCATGAAAATAGAAGTCTAAGAAATATGCTTGTTCTAAACTCAATTTTTCAGCATTCCAACTAAGAACATAATACTTTTAATTTAAAAACTACACTTTGATGCTCAGATCCTGGACATATTTGCTTGAAAGTATCAATTAATGGTTCAGAATAATACAACCATAAAAGTCTGAAGAGTGAAAAAAAACACCCCCAAAATCCATCATCCTCCAAGACAAGCTATTCCACAGTGAAAAAACCGGGGGCCAGGGGTGGGGGGAGGAAGAGGAGACACACGGCACTGGTAAGAGACTTCTCACCAATGTCATGTTTCTTCCTCAATTCTCCTCTGGGTCTGTATGTTTCATGACGCACAGGATTACATTTTTTTAAAAAAGATCATATTTTAATATATTCTCTCTATTCTAATTGTACTGTGTCATGTTTGTTTTTAGCTGCCTTTAGAGCCTATATGGGGAGAAAAGCGGGGTAAAAATAAAGTAAATAAATTTAATTAAATTAATAAATAAATCACAGAGTATGAAGGATTATCTAATCTATTAGGATAATCTAATTCAACACTTTTCATGCAGGAATACACAACTATAGCATGCCCAAAAGATACTTGGTGAACCTCAGTTTAAGAACTCCAAAGAAGAGTCCACCACCATCCAAGGTGCTGAATAGCTTTTAGGTGGATTTTTCCTTGTAATTTAATTCCATTCATTCATGTTCTGTTCTCTCATAGGAATTGTTTGCAACTGTGTTTTTAGTACCTCAACTTTAAGAACCACCCACCCACCATGAACTTAATTTCCTTTCAGCCCATGGAATCTCCTCCAGCATTTTCCTATATATACTGAAATCATCTCTCTTCATTGTCTTGATCGCATGTACAATTACACTTGGTTTTTCTGTGTAAAAAATCCCAGGAGAACACTGTCATGCCCATCCAAGGGTGCAGACTATTTCCATTAAGATGACCAGTTCTTTCCAATTGATCCCCTTTTAACCCTCTGCCTTTTGGAAAAAATGTAATTGTATCCAAGGACATGGGGAATGTGTTGGACCCTATATTATTGGCAACACTTGACTTCCAAGGATGACTGAAATCTCCTCTTGCTATCATATCAGTGTTTGGTTATCTGTTCTAGGAAGGCATCATTCAAGTCTTCAGTCAGTGTATTATTAGACCCCTCTGTCCTCCCCCATTATCAGGCCCGTAGCCAGGATTTCGATTCGGGGGGGGGGGCTGAGTTTCGGGGGGGGGGGCTGAGTCTGAGTGAAAGAGGGTCTACCCTAGCAAACCTTTTGTATCGTTACCTAATACCCCCATGTATATGGGATATATTGAGTATGGTGATCAGATCATGATATGAATAAACATAACAGTTTAAATAATGCACCAGTAAGGCCTTTTCGCGAACCACCATGAGAATTTCGGGGGGGGGGGGGGGGGTTAAGCCCCTCAAGCCTCTCCCCCCCCCCTCCCCCCCGGCTACATGCCTGCCCATGATTGTGCTTATGTTGTTTTCATTTCCTTTAAGTTTTTGATCAAATGTGCAAAATGTGCATTTAAGTCCTATATCTCTTTAAGTCCTGCATTGTCACTTGTTTTTAAATCAAAACTGTGGCTAGTTTCAGCCCTGAAAATCTTATATTCAAGCAGTATGCAGATATAATGTAAATATTTGCAGATATTTTTCTCAACCTTTTATAATCAATATGCTGGAAAGTCATCTGGTTTTTTAAAAAGTGCCTGAAAAACATTTTTTTTTGCTGAGTCCTAAATCCCAATAATTTCAGTGCTTAGATCAGTATACACTGTATTTTCTGAATAAGGAAATCATTGCATCAATGGAAAGAGTGTTTTGCCAGCTAGAAATGCTAACCCTGCTTGACCTTACTGCATAGCATGCCCTGAAGCATGTACTTAGTATTATATCATAGGCCCATAATCATACTGACAGAGGATTATATAACCTTGATATACCCAGGCAAAAACTCAAAAGAAAATGTAGGAGAAACATAATAGAAATACATTGCTTTCATTCCTTTGTTATCAGCTAGAAATTCGCTCTCTGGCTATTTGCTTGTAGAAGATATAAACAGCAAACTCATATTCTGAAAAGCTAATCAAAATCCACAGGAATATTCAGTAAATTGCTTGATAGGGTTTAAATATAAAAAGGAACAAAATAAATAATGAACTTAGTTCTCTTTGATAAGTGTATTTTTTTCTACTTGCATTTTTCTGGAGCTGGAGATATAAGGATATGAAATAATTGCAAAGAAACCCCTTGAAGAACATAACATCAACTAGGATAAAAAGATCACGAGAATTATGACCTTCCTTTTACCACCACAACCACCTCATCCTCCTTACCATGAATTCTTCCAATGTTTGGTACACTTTCCCACGAAACTCACAGTAGTTTTTCCTTTCTTTGCACAGTGGGCAACACTGACTAGTGTCAACATGAATACAACGGGGATGAAGTCTGGGACACTCTGGCTGAATGCAAAGAGGGCCCTCTTCGGTGCAAAGGCAAGGACATGCAGAGGGACCAGGAGTAAACTTCTCTCCAATCGCGTAAACAAAACCACTCTCATCTACACAGCCCTTTCCACGGTAGTCCGGATAAGCATATTCCTCTGCAGGGTCAGGAGTCGTACTCGCAATAATATCCATGAGGGAGGAATCTTCGGCAGCTTGAAGATTCTGATGTACACCATAAACTTGGTCTTGGGATGGTTGGCTTCCAAACTTACTCCTTGTTGCCTGACTACTCAGACCTTGTTTTTGCTTAGTCCAAGATTCTTTGTTAGAGTAATTTCTGATGTTTTTGCTCTTCCAGTCTTTTGTGCCCTCTTCCCTCCCATTCCTGCCCATTTCATTCATTTTCCCTAATCCAGTCTGATTCTGGCTCTCCCGATCTGATGTGTGGTCCCTCTTTTCTTGGCTTGATTTCATTTCCTGCTTGTCTTGAGTCTTAGGCAGTTTTTGCAAAGGTGTAGTAGAACTACAGATAGCAACCATCAGGAAGCAAGTCACAAGGAGGGAACCAGAGAAAGCGCCAGTTGCCATTGCAGTGTTGCTGTGCATTACCTAAGGCATCCCAGAAGGGTAGAAGATGCTTTATTCACATCAAAGGGAATTGCTCTGACAATCCACAGGCCCTGGGAAGAGATCAGTTAGAATAGATTCAGATTATAGTCTGCATTTAAAAAAAAACAGTTAATACTTTATCTGTCATGTATAGAAAGCAAAAAGAGGTAACTAGAAATGATGTACATGGAAATCTAAACTTCAGTTTACAGAAGAGTCATATACAGCATTTGTTTGACACTCTTACATAACACAATGTTTCTCAGCTTCAGTTATTTATCTTTGAGTTAAGAGCAATGGCCAAAATTATAATTAAAAGTTTCCAAATGTATTTTCAAAAGGTAAAAAAGTACCTAAATTGTTATAAAATTCTCTAAAGAAGAAAATGTATTCATACAGTTTTTTAAAATGGAGTTGGGGGGAAGGAAGGGTTGCATACTACATTACTATCTGAGCATTCTTGATAATATATACTTAGAAAAGCTTGCCAATATTTATTTTGTGGATCACTTTGCTGGTTTTCAACAAACTGGATATCTACACATACAATAATGTTTACTAATTGCAACAATTATTTCCAATTGGACCCAACTTAGAGTGCATCTATAATATAGAATTAATGTAATTTGATATCACTTTAATTGCTATAGCTTAATGCAGGGGTCCTCAAACTAAGGCCCGAGGGCCGAAAATGGCCCTTGAAGGTCATTTACCCGGCCCTCACTCAGGGTCAACCTAAGTCTGAAACGACTTGAATACAACAACAACAAACCTATCTCATCAGCCAAAAGCAGGCCCACACTTCCCATTTAAATACTAATAAGTTTATATTTGTTAAAATTCTTCATTTTAATTGCTGTATTGTTTTAAAGTGTTTTTTGCACTATAAATAAAATATGTGCAGTGTGCATAGGAATTAATTAATTTTTTTTCCAAATTATAATCTGGCCCTCCAACAGTTTGAGGGACTGTAACCTGGCCCTCTGTTGAAAACGTTTGAGGACCCCTGGCTTAATGCTATGAAATCATGGGGGCTGTAATTTTAGCCTTTTTTGCCAAAGAGTGCTCATGCCTCACCAAACTAAAAATCCCAGAATTCCATAGCACTGGGACATGGCAGGTGAAGTGGTGTCAAAATGCAATAATTCTACAGTGTAGATGCACCCTAACACAGTAACTCTACGCAAGAGTTTCAAGTATCACATCCTATCTGGGATCATTTAGGTGTGTCAGTTATTTTTCATCATCAGAAATTATTCTTTCTCACCAAACTAAAAATCCCAGAATTCCATAGCACTGGGACATAGCAGGTGAAGTGGTGTCAAAATGCAATAATTCTACAATGTAGATGCACCCTAAAACAGTAACTCTACACAAGAGTTTCAAGTATCACATCCTATCTGGGATCATTTAGGTGTGTCAGTTATTTTCCATCATCAGAAATTATTATTTTATCATTAAGTAGAAACACAGCCTTGTGACATTTATTCAAGCACAAGTCTGTTGAGTACAACAAGACCTTTTTTTTCTCGTGTCAGGAGCAACTTGAGAAACTGCAAGTCGCTTCTGGTGTGAGAGAATTGGCCGTCTGCAAGGACGTTACCCAGGGGGTGCCCAGATGTTTTGATGTTTTTACTATCCTTGTGGGAGGCTTCTCTCATGTATCCGCATGAGGAGCTGGAGCTGATAGACGGAGTTCATCCGCGCTCTCCCCGGGTTCAAACCTGTGACCTGTCGGTCTTCAGTCCTGCCAGCACAGGAGTTTAACCCACTGCACCACCGGGGCTTATTCCTAGGTAGACTTATTCCTAGATAGATTTACAGTTTAATTACAGTTGGCCTTCTGTATCCATAGATGCAATAATCTTCAGATTAATTTTTTTTAAATACAAAAAGCAAACCCTGAATTTTCCCTCTCGTACAAAGAACACAATTTTGCTATGTCATTGTATATGATGGGACTTGAGCATCCGTGGAATATAATGTGGCTTCTCAGAAGCATGCACAGGGTTCTGAACTAATCTCCCCTTATGAACCTGCAAGGACTTTAAGATCATCTGGAGAGGCCCTGCTCTTGGTCCCACCATCATCACAAGTACAGTTGGTGGGAACGAGAGACAGGGCCTTCTCAGTGGTGGCCCCTCGGCTATGGAACGCCCTTCCTAGGGAGATTAGATCGGCTTCCTCACTCCTATCATTCCGGAAGAATCTTAAACATGGCTATTTGAGCGGGCATTTGAAAATACGGAGTAACGAATATAATAACAAAATAACTATATGGCGGAACTGGACATTGTTCTAATGATTATCGATTGAAGTATGTTTCATTATAATGTTTGATTTTATTGTTGCTTATGTTTTTTATATTGTATATTGTAATTGTGTCCTTGGCGGCATTGAATTCTTGCCTTGTAAACCACCTTGAGTCGCCGGAAGGCTGAGAGGGGCAGTATAGAAATGTACTAAATAAATAAATTCTGAAGGAAGCTCCAAAGTAGCCTCTTTTAGGCTGAGGCACATTCATTTGTGCCATTTTTTTAAAGATTGGAAAGCTACTCAGTGCATCCCAGTGTATTTACACATTCCATTTCCACTTCTGAGCTAATAATTTTAAGGAAAAAGTACAAAACCTTGCAATACTTAGGTTGACAAATAGCACCCCAGAAACAAAACACATGCTGATGGCCATTGTGGAAAGTTGGACCTATTTGCAGCCATTTCTTAGGCCCATTTACATTGCATTATATACACTGCCATGTAATGCAATGTCAAACTGCATTATATGGCAGTGTAAATGGAGCCTTACAAGACTACTGTTTGACTCCGCTTATCCAATTAGCTTTCTGCCACATAATAATATGGGTTCTCTTTTTTAAAGTATCTTTTGGTGTTAGTTTCCCAATTTCTAAAATTGGCAAAGTGAGCAAGTAAATGGAATCTGTTTGCCTTATTAAGTAGATAAAAAATACAAAGTTTTTTTGTCTTTAAGAGGGGGGCAAACCAAAAATGGGGAAATAAGGGGGGTGGAGAGAGACTAGGGTTTTTTAGACAGTTTGGCAGCTGCCAAAAGTATTGAAGCGAAGGACAAACCCAGGAATTGAGATTACCAGAGCCTGAGGCAGGCCTGGGTTGGTCAGATTTGCAGGCAAGTGAATGGAAATTACACAAAAATTGCCATCAGTTCATCATCAAAGCAAAGCAGATAATGTATATTGTATTGTGAATAAAGAAAAACAAAATATCGTGTTATACTGCTCCTATTAATACTTCTAAAGCTCCCTTCTCTGCTGGTGCTGAGTCTTGGGTTATATTATATCTTACAGTTTCTGGATCCAGATGATCTGCTTTGAATGGATTAGATGAGTCTACACTGCCCTATAATCCAGCTCAAAGCAGATCATCTGGATTCAAAAACTGGATTTATAGAGCTCCCTCTTCCAGAGACAACTAACATGCAAAAAAACCCCAGATAGAACAGAAAATACTGGAGGAGTTTGGTGGGAACTGACCTTCATTTATAGGAGTTGTAGTTCATCTACAACCAGAGACCACTGTGAACCCAAATGACAATAGATCTGGACCAAACTTGGCATGCATACCCGAGATACCCAAATTTGAATACTGGTGGGGAACTGACCTTGACCTTTGGAAGTTGTAGTTGCTAGGTTTTATAGTTCACCTGCAATCCCACCAACGATGGACCTGGACCTAACATGGCTCACAGAACCCCATTACCAACAGACAACGTTGGAGAGGTTTGGGGGGAATGCACCTTGATTTGGGGGAATTGTCGCTCACCTACATCAAGAGCTCTGTATTTATTTATTTATCGTGTAATCCGCAACCAGAACATTGTATTACATTTCTAACAGAACAAACCAAACAAACAGATAAAAAAACAACACAAATTTTGCAAACTTGGTAGCTGGTTAAATGTCCTTTGACCAGTATCTCTGTGAGATACTGTGAGACCAGCCAATGACAGATCAGGACCAAACTTGGCACACAAATCCAACATGGCCAACGTTGAATACTGGCAGGGTTTGGAGCGAACTGTCCTTAGATTCTTGGAGTAGAAGTTCACATACATCCAGAGAGCAGTGTGAGCCCAGTCAACAACGGATCTGGGCCAAACTCTGCATGCATACCCAACATGGCCTCCTTTGAATACAGGTGAAATTTCGGGGCGATTGACCCAAGATGTTGGAAGTTGTCGTTCAACTTCAAACATCATCCTGATGCATTCTCTAATGGAAGCATTCGATAAAAACCAAAGCAAAGCCTGACTTTCCCTAACCAATTACCTATTTGGGGCTGATCGGGGTAAATTGGGGGGGGGGGGGGATAGGATATCTATATTCAGTTTTATCATACTTATTTACTGTATTATTACAACTGACTTTTTAAACTTACTACATAGAGTTTGGAGTGTCTGGTGGTGCAGTGGGTTAAACCACTGAGCTGCTGAATTTGCTGACTGAAAGGTTTGGATCTGGGGAATGGAGTGAGTTCCCACTGTTAGCCCCAGGTTCTGCCAATCTAGCAGTTTGAAAACATGCAAATGTGAGTAGATCAATAGGTACCGCTTCTGCGGGAAGGTAACGGCAAGGGAAGGGGCTTGAGGCTGTTAGGAATTGTGGGAGTCGAAGCCCAAAACACCTGGAGAGCCCAACTTGGCCCATGCCTCCTATACATGATCTATTTCACTAGGAGCCCCCAGTGATCGCAGGTTCGAATCCGGGGAGAGGTGGATGAGCTCGCTCTATCAGCTCCAGCTCCTCATGCGGGGACATGAGAGAAGCCTCCCACAAGGATGATAAAAACATCAAATCATCCAGGCGTCCCCTGGGCAACGTCCTTGCAGTCGGCCAATTCTCTCACACCAGAAGCGACTTGCAGTTTCTCAGGTCGCTCCTGACATGGCAAAAAAAATCTATTTCACTTTGGGGATGGAACTGTTTGCCTTTTGTATGTAACTAGCTTGGCTACCCAGCAATGCCTGAGTCATTTAAAGAAAAAAATACAGTATTGTTTGTTTTTGCATGTTCGGTAATATTGGGTAATTCATTAAATCTATATAAATAAAAACATAATGTCCGTTTGTGGGATTAACAAACTCAAAAACCACTGGGCGAATTGACACCAAATTTGGACACAAGACACCTAACAACCCAATGTATGTCCATCACTCAAAAAAAATTGATTTTGTCATTTGGGAGTTGTAGTTGCTGGGATTTATCGTTCAGCTACAATCAAAGAGCATTCTGAATTCAACCAATGATGGAATTGAATCAAACTTGGCACACAGGACTCCCCTGACCAACAGAAAACACTAGAAGGGTTTGGTGGGCATTGACGTTGAGTTTGGGAGTTGTAGTTCACCTACATCCAGAGAGCATGGTGGACTCAAACAATGATGGGTCTGGACCAAACTTGGCACGAATACTCCATATGCCCAAATATGAACACAGGTGGAGTTTGGGGGGGAAAGACCTTGACCTTTGGGAGTTGTAGTCACTGGGATTCACAGTTCACCTACAATCAAGCATTCTGAACCCCACGAACGACAGAATCCGGGCAGACTTCCCATACAGAACCCCCACAACCAACAGAAATTACTTAAGGCCATCCAATCCAACTCCCTTCATCAGGGCAAGAAAATGTCATCAAACCCCTCCTGACAAAGAGCCATCCAGCCATTGATATAGATAGAAAGACAGATAGATAGATAGATAGATATGATTCACAAACAGAGAGATATAGTATCATAGATTTGAAAGGGACCCTTGAAGAAGGACTATGATATGTTGCATGTTCCAGGGTGGGCAAACCAGACACTCTCCACATCAACACTGACAAAGACACAACAAGAAATACTGTTTACTCACTAGCATAATTATATATATTAGAAACCAACACTTTCTCATTACTTTATTTCCCAGATCAACAGACTGGGCCACAGCAACGCGTGGCAGGGGACAGCTAGTAATAAATAAATAAATGGATTTTTATTGATTGGCCCTTAGGTCAGCGTTTCTCAACCTGGGGATCGGGACCCCTGGAGGGGGTCGCGAGGGGGTGTCAGAGAGGTTGCCAAAGAATCATAGAATCAAAGAGTTGGAAGAGACCTCATGGGCCATCCAGTCCAACCCCCTGCCAAGAAGCAGGAACATTGCATTCAAATCACCCCTGACAGATGGCCATCCAGCCCCTGTTTAAAAGCTTCCAAAGAAGGAGCCGCCACCACACTCCGGGGCAGAGAGTTCCACTGCTGAACGGCTCTCACAGTCAGGAAGTTCTTCCTCATGTTCAGATGGAATCTCCTCTCTTGTAGTTTGAAGACCCATCAGAAAGGTGGAAGGTGAACTACATCTCTCCTAAATCACTGTCAATTCATCCCAAATCCCTCCAGTACGTTCTGTTGGTCATGGGAGTTCTGTGTGGGAAGTTTGGCCCGTTGGTGGGTTTGATTGTAGGAAAACTATAAATCCCAGCAACTACAACTCCCAAATACAAAATTGTGGGAGTTGAAGTCCAAAACACCTGGAGGGTCCAACTTGGCCCATGCCTGGTGTATAGTGAAGTGAAAACAGGATCTCCTGATATTATACTGTTGGCAAGCTGGATGCATTAGGAATAAAGGGGAGGAGGGGAGCCACAGCTTTTAGGAATTTGTGAGGAGACACAACTCGATGAGTCCATTGCAGCACCAGCCAGGCACCGCCATGAGGGCGCCTTGACAGCCACGACTACTGCGCAGGTGAGGGTGAACGCCGGCTGCCCTCAACACAACACAACACCCCCCCGCCCGTCCGCACGGCACACACGTCGCGCAACTTTCCCGCTTTCCCCCCTCAGCGGCCGAAAGTTCCCTGTTCCCCTGCGCGCGGCCTGGCTCACCTCCTGAGGCATCTCCCCGCCGCCCTTCCTTTCCCCTCAGCATCCCCGGCTGGCGACTCCACCGGGCGGGAAGCGAGCTGGGCCTCCCATCCCCGTCCCTGGCCAGGCGCTGGCGGGAAACTGGGCCTCGGCGCCGCCGAGCACATCAAGACGCCCGGGCGGCCTCCTCGTGGCGCGAGGAGGGGGAAGGAGGCAAGCGAAGGAGACGGGGCGCTTTGCACCTGGCTGGCTGGCTGGCTGGCTGGCTCCCTCCGCGCGCGCGCGCTTCCCTCGCGCCTGTCCTCCGCCGAAAAGGAAAGCGTCTCCCCGCCCAGACAGGGAGCGAATGGCAGGCGAGGCTGCTGACAGGGCCCTCCCTCCCTCTCTCCTTCCCTCTCTCCCTCCCTCCCGCACGAAGGAAGGAAGGAAGGAAGGAAAGAAGGAAGGCGCCCCAATGCAGCAGCAGCAGCAGCAGCAGGGAAGCCTCTGAGGGACACCAGCAGCAGCGCCGCCTCCAGCTGCCTGGCCCCCTCCTTGCGCCAGGTTTATTTAATGCCAGCGGAGAGAAACAGGGACCACTTTGACCAGGGACCACTTTGATCAGGGATCATTTGACTAGGGAACATTTGACCAGGGAACATTTGACCAGGGACCACTTTGATCAGGAACCATTTTGATCAGGGACCACTTTGATCAGGGACCACTTTGACCAGGGTACATTTTACCAGGGACCACTTTGACCAGGAATCGTTTTGACGAGGGACCACTTTGGTCATGGACCATTTGACCAGGGAACATTTGATCAGGAAACATTTGATCAGGGACCACTTTGATCATGGACCATTTGACCAGGGACCACTTTGATCAGGGACCACTTTGACCAGGGTACATTTTACCAGGGACCACTTTGATCAGGGATCATTTGACCAGGGACCACTTTGATCAGGGACCACTTTGATCAGGGATCATTTGACCAGGGACCACTTTGATCAGGGACCACTTTGATCAGGGATCATTTGACCAGGGACTACTTTGATATGGACCATTTGACCATGGACCATTTGATCAGGGACCACTTTGATCAGGGATCATTTGACCAGGGGCCACTTTGATCAGGGATTATTTGACCAGGGACCACTTTGATCAGGGACCGTTTGATCAGGGACCACTTTGACCTGGGAACATTTGACCAGGGACCACTTTGATCAGGAACCATTTTGATCAGAGATCATTTGACCAGGGACCATTTGACCAAGGACCACTTTGATATGGGACCATTTGACCAGGGACCACTTTGATCAGGGACCGTTTGATCAGGGACCACTTTGACCAGGGTACATTTCACCAGGGAACATTTGATCAGGAACTATTTTGATCAGGGACCACTTTGACCAGGGTACATTTGACCAGGGACTGTTTGATCAGGGACCACTTTGACTAGGGTACATTTGACCAGGGACCACTTTGATCAGGAACCATTTTGATCAGGGACCACTTTGACCAGGGTAGATTTGACCAGGGACCATTTGACCAGGGACCACTTTGATCAGGTACCGTTTGATCAGGGACCACTTTGACTAGGGTACATTTGACCAGGGACCACTTTGATCAGGGACCACTTTGACCAGGGAACATTTGACCAGGGACCACTTTGATCAGGAACCATTTGACCAGGGACCACTTTGATCAGGGACCGTTTGATCAGGGACCACTTTGATCTGAGAACATTTGATCAGGGACCACTTTGACCAGGGAACATTTGACCAGGGACCACTTTGATCAGGAACCATTTTGATCAGAGATCATTTGACCAGGGGCCATTTGACCAAGGACCACTTTGATCAGGGACCATTTGACCAGGGATCATTTGACCAGGGACCACTTTGATCAGGGACCGTTTGATCAGGGACCACTTTGACCAGGGTACATTTGACCAGGGAACATTTGATCAGGAGCCATTTTGACCAGGGAACATTTGACCAGGGACCACTTTGATCAGGAACCATTTTGATCAGGGACCACTTTGATCAGGGACCACTCTCCAGTATGAGTACCAGTAGCGTTACGAATCTGTTTTTGGTCCATTTAAGATTCAGTTTGATTATCTGGGGTACTTATTTATTTTAAAGGAAAGGGCCTGACACTGAGCAGATTTCTTGGCAGGAGCAGGTCACTATGCAAAAACAGAAAAGCCAAGCACTCTGAGATTAGAAACTGCCAGCAAAGATCACAGGAGCGGAGATGGGACAAAAAGCCAGCAAGCCAAGAGATTCAGTTAGGCAGTTAAAGTGTTTGAAAGGCAGAAGAGAGAAAAAGAGAGAGAAAGGATGGTTGGAAGAAAAATGAGTTGGCCCTTTGTTAGCCAGGGGAACAATAATAATGAGTGTGCTCCAGGCATTAAAAGGAGACATGACAACAAGGGAAATTTCTCTGACAAACTGCTGCAAGAAACAGGCATATTGTTCACATTAATTTTGAGTGTACATATAACACTTAACATTTTTCAAATATCTTAAATAGTTAGCATTGTAGATCTGGCCACAGACATCCAAGTTACATTCAACTCAGGCCCCCTATACATTGCCTCATAATACAGTTTCTGAATCCAGATTATCTGCTTTAATCTGGATTATATGGCAGTGTAGACTCATATATTCCAGTTCAAAGCAGATAATCTGGATTCAGAAACTGGGTTGTATAGCACTGTGGATCCAGCCTTAGAATGACTTCTGTATGAATGGAAATGAGAAGAAATGTATCCCTAGGAAGGGAAAATTGTTGTGCAATAGTGGATTTTAGCCCCGTCCCATGCAAAAGACACACAGGCAAGAGGAAAAAGGAACAGAAAAAAACTTTACTCTTATCAGCAGAGGCAAAACATAAACTTGCAGTGTTGCACACAAAATCAAACAGTGCAACAAACTTACATAGTCCTTGTAAGTAACACAGAATAAGGTTTCTTCATCTTCAATCAAATGAGAGAGCAAAACATAAACCTTGAGTAAATAGCTATTCCACCATAGCAAAGAGCATCGCTGCCAGAGCATTGCTAATTCAGCATCTCTAAACTGTATTCTAAAATCCATACAGTTATACCCACTGGTATGACTGCATGGCCCAAACATGCTGGCTGACCTACATTACCAGCTGCACATAATAATTAACATCATTTTCTTTAATACACACACTTGATCCTGCTACAACTTATTGTAACAAAATTCACTCCTGGAAGAGTTACCATGTGGAAAAGGTGTTTCCACTGAAGTTTTATCATCAATCCTTGCTTTCACAAAAAAACAAAAGTTTCAAAATCCAGTGGTCACAGGGACAGAAAGTGATGTGAAATATTCTGAGCAGAGGCACATACAGCAAAACAAACATCACAGGTGTGTCAACACTCCCCTATGCTATTCAGAACCAAAAGAATTTGTATTTTTGGCTGGAATTACGATTTACATGAATATTCACCTTAACAACAAAGCTCCAAAACTTATCTTGTCTATAAACTGGGAACATCCTGTACCATTAAGATCCAATAGAACATATACAAGAATATATTTATATTTGCTCAAGAAATTCTTTCTATTAAAATTTGCAGCGTGTCGACGAGGAAGTGTCCTAGGATGCCTCTACGCCAGTCAAGGGTAGGGCCTCTTCCAGAAGTTGAGGGGTGTTGTGTGATGGACTGCTTGCCCATCTGTCCCTCAACTGGCTGGCAAGCATCCTTTTTTTAAAAAAAAATAATTAATTTCTTCATACAGATAACAAAACAATACAATACGAACCTTAGCCATCTAAAAGATAACATAAAAACTGTTTACAATCTTTATGGCTAGGATACAGGTTCCAATTGTGACTCCCTTTACCGTATATCTTAATTAATTACCCCATCCACCCACCTTCTTCCCACCTCCCTCCCACTCCCATCTGGGTTACTTGACTCAATACATTGATTTAATTGTCTGGAAGGCCTGATTTTAAGTTCTGTACAGGGAGCTCTGGCGTGGGCTGGTCCATGAGGTCACGAAGAGTCGGAGACGACTGAACGAATGAACAAAAAAAACACCTATCTTTTCCTTCCGTTTTGTCGATTAAACAAGACCATTTCCTAAACCAATCTTGTCTTGACTGAATATTCAAATATTTATTTTTCTTTTCATGGATGAAATGATTACTTAAATATTCAGAGAGATGCGACCACCAGGTTTTCAGGTCCCATCTTGTTTTATCTTTCCAACCTCTGGCGATTGTGGCATGTATAGCCACATAAATTTTAATATATCTGACCATTTGTTGTTCCCCTCCTTTACCTCTATATTGAGGGACAAAAATCGAGCTTTATTCCAATGTAGTTTTTGCCCTATTATTTCCTCTATTACTTCTCTAACAGTATTATAGTATTCTGAATTTCAGAGCAGTCCCACCACATGTGTGAAAAAGTACCAGTCTCCCCGCATTTCTGCCAGCATTTGTTAGAAATGTTTTTCATAATGTGAGCCAATTGAGAGGGGGTCCTATACCATTTTTTTCCTGTGTTTCAAGATATATTGTGTTCTTTTGGAGAAATACAGAGGGGAGGGAGAACCGAATGACTCTGGGCAGCTCTCCGTCCAAGCTCAGATACTTCTGCACTCTTAAAGGTTAGGCTTCTGTGCAAAGCACAGAGAAACAAAATCCCATGGAGGATGTCATAGACACTTGACAGCTTGAAAGGCAGATTCCTACTCCCCAGCAAATCCATTTTCATTTTAGCCATTTTGGCCTTCCTGTCACTCTCAGGCATTATTTTTGGTTGTTTTGCGGATCAGTGCCATCCTCTGTTTGTGAGCTTCTGTAGTGCAAGCTTTTTTATAAGGCCTAATTTCTTCAGAGCCAAAACCTGGGATCCACATGTTCCATTGTCACTCAAGATGGAGCTGGACATCTTTCACTTCCAAAGTGTTGGACTTGCGATGCCGCACAAGCTGACAGACAGCTGTCACCACACTTTCAATGAAGTCATCAGCAATCTGCAGCAGCATCTCCTCTACATCTTCATCTAATTGCTCATTTGGATCCACCTCTCTGACAAGATCCTGCAACTTCTTCTTTGATAAGATCTGGTTGCTTTCAGGGCTGAGACATCCCCCTCTGCTAGGGGTTCCTGGCATCTTGGCCACTGTGGTGTTGTTTGCCATAGAACTATGGGGAGGAGTACTGGCTGGTTCTGGTTTGATAGAGGAGAATAATTTTGAAATTATTTTCTTTTGTGTTTCTTTTATTCTTAGATGTTTAATTTTGGGGGTCTTATCGATCCAGGAGTTTACTAAGTTTTCATTGAAGTTTATATCCTGT